CTCTGAATGAGCATTTTTTCTGTGTGATTTAATGACAGATGCCACATAAACACAAGGTCGAATTACAGCCCTGACATGCTGCCCTTCACAGGCCTGGCCCAAGGTCACAAATAACAGAACAGGCTTGTGTTTTAAAAAAAACGGATGTAAAGACATGTGAAATGGGCAGACCAACTTGCCATCAAGGCTAATTAATTTGCTGATGCTTCAATACATGCTGGGGGGGGGGGGGGGGGGGTGGAAACTTGTAAGTTTTATGATGATGCTGTGAAGTTGGTCCTATTAACATATCAAGTACAAGATAACTGTTATATTAACACGTTTAGCTCCAGATAACTGTTACGTTAGCTCTTTTAGCCAACAACAAAAACTGCTATGTTAACACTTTTAGCCTCAGATATGTGTTAAATTAACTTGTTTAACCCATGATAATAGCAAAATTAACTCTTTTAGTACCAGATAACTGTTACATTAACCTCTTTTAGTCCCAGACAAATGTTACTTTAATTCTTAAAGCCCTGAATAACTGTTAACATTAACTCTTTCAGCTCAGATAACTGTCAACTCCTATAGCCTCAAATAACTTACATTAACTCTTTTAGTCCCAGATAACTGTTAGGTTAATCCCTACAGCCCCAGAGAACTGTTATATTACCTTTTATAGCCAAAGATAACTGTTACAGACTAGCCAGTTCTGCATCATGCGGTGGTGAATTGATGTATAACAAGCTAGACGTTGTAACGGCCCTTTGGCAGCGAGTGAACAATGCGGAGGCACAAACAGATCATTAAGGTCTGATGAGAATGGCGCTGCAGGGAGTTAACAGGGGATCTGGCTGATGCTCAACACTCAAGGAAAGAAGGAGACAGATATACAATAAAACAGTTACTCTACCATCGGAATTGGAACTCTTTGCTTGCTGCTGAAGATCGGGACGGAGCGCTAATGGGAGTGCTCAAGTGCTTTGATGTCGATTCTTAATTCAACATTCAACTCACTGAGACCTGACTGGTCTATACAAATTTACTAGAAGCATTACTGGGAACTGTATGCCCAATGTATCATTAGGAACCATATCTGTGATGTATCATTAGGAACCATATCTGTGATGTATCATTAGGAACCATTTACCTGATGTATATCTGATAAATACATCACTGTGAACCATATGCCCAATGTATCTTTAGGAACCATATCATTGGGGACCATATGGCCGATGCACCACTGGAAACCATATGCCTGATATATCATCGGGAACCATGTCTGATACGTCATTGTGAACCATATGCCTGATATATCATTGTGAACCATATGCCTGATATATCATTGTGAATCATATGCCTGATATATCATTGTGAACCATATGCCTGATATATCATTGTTAACTATATATCTGAAACATCACCAGGAACCATATGTCTGAAACATCACCAGGAACCATATGTCTGATACATCACTGGGAACCATATGTCTGATACATCACTGGGAACCATATGTCATACATCACTGGGAACCATATGTCTGATACATCACTGGGAACCATATGTCTGATACATCTCTGGGAACCATATGTCTGATACATCACTGGGAACTGTATGTCTGAGACATCACTGGTAACCATATGTCTGATACATCACTGGGAACTATATGTCTGAGACATCACTGGTAATCATATGTCTGATACATCACTGGTAACCATATGTCTGATACATCACTGGGAACCATATGTCTGATACATCACTGGGAACTATATGTCTGAGACATCACTGGGAACCATGTGTCTGATACATCACTGGGAACCATGTGTCTGATACATCACTGGGAACCATGTGTCTGATACATCACTGGGAGCCATATGTCTGATACATCACTGGGAAAAATATGTCTGCTACATCACCGGGAACCATATGTCTGATACATCACCGGAAACCATATGTCTGCTACATCACCAGGAACCATATGTCTGATACATCACCGGGAACCATATGTCTGATACATCACTAGGAACCATATGTCTGATACATCACTAGGAACCATAAGTCTAATACATCACCAGGAACCATATGTCTGCTACATCACCGGGAACCATATGTCTGATACATCACTAGGAACCATATGTCTGCTACATCACTGGAAACCATATGTCTAATACATCACCGGGGACAATATGTCTGATACATCACTAGGAACCATATGTCTGATACATCCCTGGGGACCTTATGTCTGATAAATACATCATTGAGAACCACATGTCTGACATATTATTGAGACCCATAAGATTGATGTATCACTGGGAACCATATGCCAGATGTATCATTGGGAACCATATGCCAGATGTATCACTGGGAACCATATGCCAGATGTATCACTGGGAACCATATGCCAGATGTATCATTGGAAACTATAGGCTTGATGTATCACTGGGAAGCATATGCCAGATGTATCATTGGAAACTATAGGCTTGATGAATCATTGGGAACCATATGCCAGATGTATCATTGGAAACTATAGGCTTGATGTATCATTGGGAACCATATGCCAGATGTATCATTGGAAACTATAGGCTTGATGTATCACTGGGAAGCATATGCCAGATGTATCATTGGAAACTATAGGCTTGATGTATCATTGGGAACCATATGCCTGATACATCACTGAGAACCATATACCTAATATGTTACGGGAACCAAATGCATGATACATCACTGAGAACCATACATCTGAGATCACTGACAGGAAAAGGTTGCTTTACCACGTATTATTTTTCAACTGTCAGCCTCTGACAACCATTTCATAAACTCTTTCTCTCCCAGATAAGTGTTACATTACATTATCTCCTTCTCTCCTAGACAACTGTTGTAACTCTTTCTCTTCCAGATAACTGATACATTAACTCTTTCTCTCTCAGATAACTGTTACAATAACTCTTTCATACAGAAGAGACACATGATGTGTAATGTAATGCTCCTCATAAATCATAATTACTATGTTCTCCATATGGTTTCGTGCGCATCATTGTGGAGGAGGAAGAAAGAATAGATCTATACTACACCTGTAACAAGCATGTCATAAAAGGTGACTAATTAGAGGTGTTTTCTTCAAAGTCGGTAGTGCATCTGCCTGAGAGTCAAGGAACCAATACTCTGCACACAAATAAGCCAAAACCACAACACATAAGTAAAAGAGATGTGCACACAAAACTCAAGTTCTAGAACAAGGCTGAAGTGGGTGAAAAACTAGGACTTTTTGTCAGAGTTTACAGCCAGAGAGCACCACAAAGAAGAAGAAGATAATCATTGCGTAATATCTCTTGGTCAAAAACTGGACAAGTCAACTGCAGTAATTGATCCCTGTGTATGTTGCATGGACCTATTATAGGGAAAACAAGAATAGACCCACTTCTTCTTCTTCTTCTTTACTTCCTCTTTTACCGCTGTGGGTGTCGAGGAAGATATAAGGTTCTGTTTCTAGCTCTTCTGGCTGCCTCGACCATAGGCACATCGTGCTGTTGTAGAGTTTCTCTGATGTTGTCCTTCCATCTTGTTCTTGGTCTACCCCGTGCTCTACGTCCTTCTTCTCTTTCCATGTATGCTTTGTTTGGTATGGTGTCACAAGGCATTCTCTCTAAGTGGGCAAACCATTTCACTTGCTGTATAGACCCACTGCCTACCCAAAAGCATGGGGTAAGAGTCGACTAATTGGGAGCTCCCTTCGAAGTCGGAGTACATCTGCCTGAGAGGCAAGGCACCAACAGTCTGCATACAAAGTAGTCAGATCTGTTGAACGAATGCACACGCAACACTCAGCTTCTGGAACAGGACTGCAGTCCAGAAGTGGACGAACAACCAGAACTTTACGCTGGAGTTTATAGCCGGTGAACGGGAAGAAGAAAAAGAAGAAGAGGAAGAAATGCACGGATTGGGAAGCTACAGTTACTGACTCCACCTCCATTACAGCAGATACTGCAACTGACTTGTCAAGATTTAGACCAACAGATATTATACAGTGATTATCTTCAGCTGCTGCAGAGTGGACCAGGCCAACATGTTAAAATTGAAACAGACTCACAAAGCATGCTTTCTAAAACAGAAACTAGTATCCCATGCCGAGTTACTTGCATCACATGAAAAGATTTACATCAGGATTGATTGGTTGTTGCGTATCCTTTACAGGACGTTGCAGAACCAACCCCAACAACCCCTGGCTGTTGTGTGGGTTTTTTTAAGCCAAATTTACGTCCAGTAGTTTGCCATTGCTTTCTGGACGGTCGGCTTTGTTAATACCACTGTCGAAACCAACGCAGGGCGCGTGGCCCGCAGCTGGGATCGAACCCGGCATCCCGGCATTACGAAGCATTCTCATCAACTTAGCCACAGAGCCAACTTACATCAGGAACATATCACAAAAGTAAGTAAAAGAACATCTTCCACACCCTTAAGCGTATTGGGCACATAGCTTCAGACCTATATTTTATACACCAATCGGCACTCGATGGAACATCATGCCAGCCGCCTTTATTTCCCAGGACTGTACCTAGGTCCCATTTAAGGGTGGGTCGACCTGGGAGCCAAGGAGCAAATCAAGAGTTTAACAATTTAAGTACCTGGAAACGGGGATATGGTTCAACTATCTTGAAGTCGGATGCAAGACACTGGAGACAGCTGAACAGGAAAGTACAGGGGGTGGGTGAACTGGCAAAAGACCAAGTCTCTTTCAGGTGGGCTGTTCACATTCTGCTGACCTGCCCACTCTACATACACCTTTAAAAATCAACCTGGTCTCAAGAGCAAAGTGTGCAGAGCAAGCTATGGGGAACCATGAAGGACCTGCTACAGACATGCGAGTTCACAGAGGCAAACTCCTGCGGGTCTGATCTGAGATTATGAAACTGAACGCGAAGAAGAAGAAGAAGATGGGCTGTGATGGCCGTAACATTCTGTAAAAGGTTTGCTACATAATGGTAAAATCACTACACTGAAAAAAAGGCAAATAAACTTACCGTATTGAAAACAAAGGCAAATATCACCGAGAACTTTGATCCTCCACACAAGAGAATAACCAAGTAGATGATTGTCACATTAAGCCACATGTGTACTGTATCAATTCCTAGATGACAGATAAGAGTCAAATAAAAGTCACAAGGTGAAGAACACTTTTCCATGCCTTTTTGCATATTGGGCATATAGGGCTAGACCTATATTTTATAGATCAATTGGCACTTGGTGGGTGATGTGGTCAGCATCACGTCCGCCACCCTTACTTTCCAGGATCGCAACTGGACCCCACTCAAAGCTGGGTTGACCTGGGAGTCAAGGTCTTTCTTTTTTTAAGACAGGCTCCAATAGAGTAAAAGAGTAGCTATAATATACAGGTCCATTGAGTGCCAGCACACTTAATATTTTCCCTGTCATCATCATCATTAAGTGACATGCCAACTTCATCTCATATTCCACAATACTGACATTGGCCAATATGCTTAAATAAAAGCTCTGGTACTGGCTGCACCTGCACAGTATGTAGATGTGGTGGCTGTGATTACATTTATAGAACAAAAAATGTTTCAATATTATCTGAGGTGAACATCTGTTTGTTTGTTGGGTCATTGTAAGGACATTACAAACTTATGATGACGTCACTTTACTCTCTGTGGCCGTGTCAAGAAAACCCCTGTTTGCACAGTGATTACTTCCCTTCATTAAAAAAAAAAAACTCTTTGTGCAAAATAATAACTCGAAGTATCACAAGTCCATCTTTTTTTAAAGCAGCAGGGATGATACAATAGCTAGTAGGCTTGCATGTCTGCTCGTTGATTATAGGTTTAAACTGCTGTGGTTTATTTTTTTGAAAAACTGACCAAAACTCCAAATTGTTTCAGATTCTGCTTCTCTACCTCTAGTTTCTTGAAGCAGAGTTTCACAGAATTAGGACAATGTATTCCTTTTGAAAAAAAAATTTTTTTCTTAAAAAAAAAGGTCATTTTTAAAGATTGCTAAGGAAAAGGGTTAAATTACTTCTTTAATCCTTTTCTTTAGCTATTTAAAATTACCTCATTTGTTCCCAGTACACAGCTAGTGTTGGATGAAGAGAATAATGACAACAACTAAAAACTCATGGGTGTTCTACTCCCACAGGGGCTAAATACACAATCTTTAGAAGAAACAATTACACCGCCAGTTTTCTGGAGTTCACGGCTAAACATGGGATATAGAACAGGGTTATCCAACTAAGCTGACTCGGGGGATCAAAATTATCACAAGGGTGATTGTCATGGACCAGAGGCCCGAGCTCAAGCATAAGAAATCATTAATACAATATGAGTGGCAATGATACGCTGGCCACATGATTTGGCCCACGGGCTGGCAACTAAAAAGCCATGATGCTGAAACATACCTAACATACTTATTGATTTACAACCTGCAAATATTCAGAGGCCCATGTGGGGGCAGGGGGAGAATAGAACAATTGTACCCTAACTGCATGTCATAAAAGGATGCTAAGTGGGAGTTTGTTGAAAGTGGATGTGTTGGACTGATGGTGCAGATATTGCAACCTAGCATTAAACTACAACACAACAGGCCAACCGAAATTTAAGAGACTGGTATACATTTATAGTCCTTGTTTATATGTTATGTGCTTCTTAACAATTTTCAACCGTTACAATTTTCAACTATTATTTAAATAATTCTACTCAGTAACTACTGTCCCTGTTTACCACTCCGCAGGGTTGACAGGGAAAGGAGAGGAATTTTTGTTATGGGGTGGGGGGAGGGTCTTTAAGGCTGAGGAATTAGAATTGCACGGCCAGTGCTGCCGCAGGTACGGGTTAGGATTTTACTTTTGCACCCGACAAAAATAACCGTAACTTTAAAGAGGAATGGAACCTGGGTCTCTCGCTTGAAACCCTAGCATTTTTAACTGTTTGACCAGCTGCTCTATTCAGTACTGTTATTATTTTAACACTTTTAGACGCTATTGTTACCAGATTGAAGTAACAGCTGTGCGTTTGGAATGAATTACAGTAAAACTTCCTGGTACTGAAAGTCCAAGAGAGAAAAGAAAAATGCGCAATATTTTCACAACTGCATTGGCTTCAACTTGAGAGAAAAAATCAGATCACTGTTCTAAGAAAGTTTAAATTAAAACAAAACACTGCTCTGGGAAAAATCTGGCTTGTGTTGACACTTCATTTTCATTAGTCAATTTATTTCATTAACAGGCAAGTGTGTGCTTATTAGGGCTTTAGGATTTAAGTACACAAAAAAGGTTTAATGTTTCCACACGTAATCCTACTGGTTAACAGCCCTGCCTGTCTGCCCCTTCCCCTGCTTACTCTATATCTCTCTCTTTCTTTGACTCCACCTCTCTCTCTTATCTCTTATTCCTCCCTCTGTTTTTCCCCCTTTCTCTCTCTTCCCCCTTTCTCTCTCTTCCCCCCATCTCTCTCTTTCTTTCTCTCCCTCTCTATCTCCTTCATTCCCTATGCCTCGGCCCCCTTCTCTCTCTTCCTCACCTTGCCCCCACCCCCTTTCTTCTCTCTCTTCTTCAACTTTTCTTTCTTTCTCTCCCTATCTTTCTTTCTCACTTTCTCTTTCTTTACCTTTACCTTTCTCTCCCTGTCTTCCCCCCCCCTCCCCCACGACACCCTCTCTCTCTCTTTCTTTCCATCCTTACTTTTTCTTTCTATCTCTCTCTCATGTCATAAAAATCAATGTAACAACATATTGGGTATTCCAACTTGTGCTCAGACCTTCAAAGCAACAGCTACTACAAGTACCTGTACTATTATCTGTTTCACCATATTTCTCATGTTTTTTTCTCTTCATCTCTCACTTTTCTTTTTTTTCACACAATCTCTCTCACCACCATTTTTTCTGGCCCTTTCTGTGTTTCACTTTCTATATTCTCTCATGCTCTTTCTTATTATCTCTCACCTCATGTTTCTCCCTCTGTCACTCTCTTATGTTCTTTCCCTTCATCTCTCAGCTGAACTCTCTCTTTTAGTTCTTTCTCTCCATCTCACTTTTTTCTCCTTCTTTCCCTGTCTCTCTTTCACACCTTATAGTAATTCTCTCCCCCACTCTCTCTCACACATCCAAGTAAACTATTTCACAAATTAGATGACTGACGTTTACTGCAAGAGAAAGTGACAGATTTATTGTCTCCTGCTTCAGAGCTGCAAACAAGTGCTAAATAAAAAAGAAGACATCAGTGCAGAGATGTAAAAGCAGGAGACAATTTGTTCAATACGAAGAAGAGATTGCTACAAGAACCACACAGACACCCACTAGTTCACACGCAAACGTATGCAAATTTTAATTTGTGTACAATTTGCATACTGCGAATAAAGAAGTCAGGAACACCTTTAAAGAAAGGGGGAGGGGGGGGGGGGGGGGGGGGGCTGTAGTTTCTGATACAAATATTGTGATTACCTTGGAGTACCAGAATAATGAATGATTACAATGCTATATTTGGGGGGGGGGGGGGGGGGCAGAAGACTCATAAGGGAAGAATGGAGGATGGTAGAGTCTGCAAGGAAATCTTTATGATGAATTATGGATGGGTAGAAAATGTTGAGGCCACTGCCTGCTACGATATGAAAATTGTGTAAAAGGGTAATAAATGATACAGGTATTGAGGTAGATTCATGGGAACAAACTGTCATGGGCCATGTTGCTTGGAAGGGGTAAATCAAGAAGGGAATAGAAATAAAGGAAAAAAATGATAGCAGAAAGGTTCACAGCCGAGCATCTGAGAAGAAACACACTAAATATATATGATGGAAATAACGGTCCTGAAATCCTATGCTCTAACTGTGGAAGACTTGTCTTAACTCTTTGAGTCCAAAGGAACACATCATACGTTCATAGGTTCCTACCTAGAAGCCCAATGAATACATGATGCACCGGTTTTATTACTTTCTTTACTACCCACTGGGCCCGGGATGCTAAACCCCATGGGACTCAAAGAGTTAACGCAGGCGGGTCTTGCTAGGCACACCTGCCATGGCCATAGGCTGTGATTCCCATGCCTTCCCACTGCCCAATACAATCATGTGTAAAGACAGAAAGGTGCCAACTACGAATGCTGTTGGAAGACACATGTTACAGAAGGCAGCAGGTGTAAGGCTGCATGTGAAAGGCAGCATGTGTAAGGCAGCATGTGTAAGGCAGCATGTGTAAGGCTGCATGTGTAAGGCAGCAGGTGTAAGGCTGCATGTGTAAGGCAGCATGTGTAAGGCAGCAGGTGTAAGGCAGCATGTGTAAGGCAGCAGGTGTAAGGCTGCATGTGTAAGGCAGCAGGTGTAAGGCTGCATGTGTAAGGCAGCAGGTGTAATGCTGCAGGAATTTGGTGTTAAGTACAGATCCAGAAATGAGTAATGAAGACGTCTTGAAAGAAACTCACTCGCAAAGAGAACTGATTGCCCACATCTGAAAGAGACAATCTACTTTCTTTGGTCATGTCATGAGAAGGAGAAAGCTGGAGTACTTCTTGACAGTGGGCAAGAGAGGCAGAGGTAGAGAGAGAAGATGGTGGTCAACTTGATATGACATGCAGGATCATCTGTGCCAGAAGTGAGTGAAAGCACACGAGACAGAAGGTTTTGGACAGACATGACTACTAATGTCACACAGCATAGAATTTAAGAAGAAGATGATAGATCCAGTTTAAAAAAAGTAAGAATGAGAGGGAAAATACCATGTGTAGACAACCAGTGTGCTACAGACACAATCAAGATCTACAACTTGCAATTTTTCGGTGCAGGAGATGCAGCATCTATGTCCCCACACCTTGCAATTTTTGGTGCAGGAGATGCAGCATCAATGTCCCCACACCTTGCAATTTTCGGTGCAAGTGATGCAGCATCTATGTCCCCCTATCTTGCAATTTTCAGTGCAGGAGATGTAGCATCTATGTCTAGTATGTTATTTTTTTGTTTATCTTGTAACCTAACAAGCCACAAAATTGACACTTCCGGTTGGGTTCAATTTCCTGCAAGCGTCTCTTTTCCAACTTGTCTATAGCAATCGGTTTACGAGACGCATAGTTAATGTTACTGGAGATCAAGATAAGAATACCTTAACTTAAATGGGGGTGCTGGGATTATTCTTTGAGCCCAATAACTCTCTTAAGGCCAAGATGACGTCAAATTTTCCCTTAGGCCTCAGTGATTAAGATCACGGTATCATGGTATGTGTCACTAAACACATACGATTGTCTTTTGGGCTCTCGAAATGTGTTCCATTCAATGCTTTACCCTGCTTGTGCTTACTGATTACTCACTTTATATATCTTCTTATATTTACGACAAAAAAATTCACACAAATATATTTGTAATGAATGTATTGTATTAGCAACCTGTGTAAAATCTGGTTATTAAGGATTTGGGGAAAGGGGGGGGGGGGGGATTTTTGTTCCCAGAGTGAGAGGGTTAAATCAATAATCTATTAACATTTCAAAAACTTACCAAAATTGTAGTAGCAAATCGAGGCGCCCTCTATGAAGATCACAAGGTGTTTTAAAGTCGATGGAGCAGAGTAAAAAAGTGGAAGCCTGTGTAGTAATGCCAGAGGATAGC